ACATATTTTCTGTGGCTGCTTTTGCTCTACCGTGGCAGAACTGACTGGCCCACAAGATTTTTTTTTTTTTTAAATTATCCATTTCTTTAAACAGTTAAACCCCTGACCCCACCTCCACCCCCACTGAAGTCCTATAAACCACCATCCAGCTTCAACAAGTATCAACTGACTAATCTTCTTTCATCTATACTCACCCCACCCCCACCCTACTGGATTTTGTTGAAGTAAATCCCCAGTTCAGCATCACCTTCATGTTAGGTAAATAAAAAACTGTTTTATCTCTTCTGACACAGATCTATCTTTTCTCTGTACCTTATTTCAGCAGGAGGAATAGCAGTATTGGTATAAATCCACTCTCCTCAGTGAAATCTGATACTTTGTTATGGTATAGGGAGCTACAAGGGGCAGAGGTGGTGAAATTAAGGATGTATACTAGAAAAGCCTTTTTCTTTCTTACTCCTTGCCTGGAGCTCTGAACATCTCTTCTGTTTTCCATTACTCTTCCCATGGATTTCAGTCAATGACATTGGGTAGGTGAGAGGACAGTTGAAAATGTGAAAAGTAAATAACTTTTCCTGGGAACATGTACGAGAAAAGATGGCCTATGTAGATACAGATTAAGGTGTTCTGTGGAGTAATTTTTATAGTGAGAATGCCCTCATCCCATAGATTTTGAAAAAGGGTGGTTGCAGCTTTGTACTATCCTGGAGTTTCAGTGAGAATTGCAGTGTACATGTGTTCAATGGAAATGGATCCCATCTGTCACAACTTCAGAACAGCACTGTTTCCTCATGTGAACCAGTTCTTCACTTTAGGTACATGTTGGTATAATTCCTTGCTAGAATTTATCTGATAGACTACATCCATAAGATGCTTCCTACTACCTAAGTGGTGTGGCTAAGCCACTTATCTCTTGGTTTTGGGTAGAGTTCAATTTAGTTGTAAATGGCTCTCTAGTGTTTGTTATGTGGAGCTGAGGCTGCTTTCCAACAATTGAGAATGGGCTTCCTCTGTGCAGAAACAATAGAAAGGGATAAGAACAGGGCTTGTCCTGAGTGAAGGTAAAACAGGTGAGGAAGGTAGATCAAGACTACTGTGGAAATTGGGACTTTCTCAGCCACAAGAGGGTGTCAGCAGGTAGAGGTACTGGAATGTCTGATACTGGTCAATCAAGGGTTGGGTTATCCAGGTCTTTTATACTTTTCCTTGGGATTTGTTTCAGATCTTTTGCCTGTCATTGGATAGTGTTTGCTATTCCATTTGATGGGGGGAATAAAGGAGTCTGAGTAGAGTGGAGCATATACATACACATTTACACATGTAAGCCAAGATATCCTCTCTCTTTTAAAACTACCATTTTCAGAGGGCAGCACCCCTTACTTTGGATAATTATGTAAATAAGCACAACAGATTAAGTTTCACAGTCCATTTGATAGGTGGGGCCTTCACAATGAGAAAGAAGAGCTTTAATCAAGCCATTCCCTAGATAAAATAGCCTTATCCTGTTAAAAGGTAACAAGGCAAAGGAATTGAAGGGAACTACTTCAACCTGATAAAGGCGCCTCTGGCATAGTGCCTAAGGCACTTGACTGCTAACCAGAAGGCTCGAAGTTCTAACCCACCAGCCACTTCTGGAAGGAAGGTTGGGCAATCTACTTCTGTAGTGATACTGCCTCAGAAACTCAAGGAGGGGTCATTATGAGATCTGACAGCAGTGAGAGTGAGGTGAAAAGCCCACAAATAATGTCCTACTTGATGGTAAAAACTGAAAGCTTTCCCCCTGAGATCAGGAACAAGAAAAGGACAAATGCCTGCTCTTGCTGCTTCCATTCAGCATTTTACTGGAGGTTTTAGCCAGAGCAATCAGGCAAGCCAGAAAAGGCAGGCAGGTTAGAAAAGAAGTAAAAGTATCTTGATTTGCAGAAGACATGATCTTTCCTTTAGAAAATCCTAAGGAATCCATAAAAACCTGTTAGAGCTAATAAATGAGTTCAGCAAGGCTGCAGTATACAAGAGCAGTGTACAAAAGTCTGATGTGGGATTTGATTTTAAATGCTGCATTTAAGGCAAAAATTGTATACAGTTCAATCTTTTGGGAAATTTCAAAATTGCCCAAATAGAAGTTTCTGTATACAACCCTGTACAGTAAACATAAATATGCACATACAGTGTAATGAACATGCAAATATTGATTATAATTGTATGTATTTGTGGATTAGGTAAGAAATGTCTTTCTGTGTATCTCAAAATAGGAAAAGGAAAGTTATGATTGGATGTCAACACAGACAGCAAATTTCTGGCCCCAGTAGTTCTTTCTGGGGCTCAGCTGGGTAGCCTTTGGGCAAAACCCCCGGTGGCCTGTTTCCCGACACTGAGTGAGCAGTACTAAATGTAGAACGTGGACTGTTTGAATGACTGGAGATTCCCACTTTCATATGGTATCTTGAGGGTGCCTGGCATTGCCTTTGTTAGGTAATAAAGGACAAGTGAAACATATTGACTGGTTTCTGTCTCTTGATGTTTTGAAATCTGAAATCTCCATTTCATTGCAAATCAAAGTATAGCTTAATAAAAGTACAGTTTAATCCACAGGGGAGTGAATACAGACTTCTGGCAGGCCTCTATGAATTAATATCCAGGTGTGTAAATGTATGATGATTCCACTTGTCATCTCTACCTGTTTGGTGTCATCTGATTTTCTGTAAGTAATTTACCAGTGCCTGAAAATGTCCTTGATTCTGTGTTTGTCTAAGCTCTCAATTCAACGCTAACTTGACTGACTCCCCACACTGTTGTCAGTCCTTGGGAAACCCTCAATCATTCCATATGCACACCTTTAATAGGTTTTGCCAATATGCATGGTTTGCTGTTTCACTGCATCCATTGCCTGTGGAAATACACTAATGCAATGAAATGACTGGAATTCTCTCCTTACACTTTTAATATTGTTATTATTTTTTTTTCTAAGCAAGTATTGCTCAATTTATACAAGTTAAATGCATGCTTGATTCTACAGCACAGCAAAATGGTATCATGAACAGAATTAAAAATATATGACAAATTGAGGAAAAGAATTTCTAAGAAGAAATTAATATGAAAGACCAACACCCCAAAAGATAAATTGGCAAAGAACACAAAACAAAAACAAACGGCCAATAAATATACAGAAGTGTTCAACCTTACAATACAGCACACATCCCATTCTTCACTTATTAAAACAGCACAGACAGAAAAAGGAATGATAATATCCAATGATTATTTGTGCTTCAAGGATAATGGGTATTGTATACTCTCACTTTGAAAACTTATAACAATTTGTATTCTCATGAGAAATCTGGAAAACATCAAAATCCTTAAAAATATGTGACTCTTATCTTGGATTCTATACTTCTAGGAGTTTTCATAAGGAGATAACCATATGCACAAAAATTATGTACCTTGGTGCTTACAACAATTACTTACATTAATAACAAAAATCAGAAACAACCTGAAAGTTGTAATAGTAAAGACTGTCCCACTGTGTGATGCAATACTATGTGGCTAATAAAAAACGTATTTTCAAAGAATACTTAAGGATATAGAGAAATGGTTCCAAAAAAGCGGCTGATAAGAAAATGAAAATGGTATACAGGATGTTTATGGTTTTATGAAAAACTCTATATACACAGAGGCACTGGGTATCTACATCATATTTGGAAGGAGACTGTATTTTGACAGTTAAGAAGGGTATTCTTGGCTATCAGTGTCAGTTGAGCACAGAATGTGATTCTGAAAACCCTAAATCTTTTTTGATCCATATTTATAAACATCAAAATTATAAATTTAATATGCTTAGAAGAAAAGAGGCAGTAAAAATGATTTAGCTTGGGTTCCCTGACCCTATTCAAAGATCAAAATATACAACAATATATTTCTACTCTAGAGCTCTGTTAAGGGGCAGTTTTTCATTTTCTTCCTAGCAAGTATAGTTATCTTTGGGTGGTAGGATTATGGGTGATATATAGTTTCTTTTATATAACTTTATTTTCAAAATTTTCTAACATGGACATGGATTATTTCTAAAACATTAAAATTGCTTAAAAGGTTAAATAAATGATATCAAAATTGCTGATGTTTACTTTTTTCAGTAAGATGCAAAACAGTTATAGATAAACTTGATTTATTTTGTCTATAAAAGTAGTTTCAATACAGGCAAAGTTAATGCATTTGGACTGTTCATGATTCAGTTTTGACAGATGCTTAGTACTTGCATTTCCTCAGTGTTTGCCCCACCACCCTCTGCACATCTGAGCTGTACTTAATACAGCAGCCTGCAAGGAAGCAGTGGTGCCTTGGCTGTCAGCATCTGTCCTTGAGCACCTAGGAGCACAGCATTATCACTCACTTCTTTGTTAGGCTACAAACATTTGCACAATTCACTACCCAATCGATAAACATCAACACAGGATATGGCTAATATTTCCCTATATTCATGTTGCATTCAAAAAGACACAGTCACAGCAGTTGTTAAAATACATTTTAAGAAAAATAAATATTCTGCATAATGTATTTACAATGATCAATTGTTTTGTCCCCCACCCTAAATTAGTATAAAATTGAGAAACAATTTGACAATTAAGAAGTATTTTCTTGGCCATTAGTGTCAGTTCAGCACACACTGTGATTCTGAAAATTTGAAATCTTTTTTAAACCGTATTTTTATGAGTATGCAAAACTGCAATTTTTACTATGCTTAGAAAAAAAAAAGTAAAAATTATTTTGCTTGAGTCCCTTGACCCTATTCAAAGATCAAATCATACAACAATATATTCCTACCCTATAAATACTGAGGGACAATTTTTCATATTCTTTCTAGAACGCAGGCCTCACATGATGCCTCCATGGTCACCCATCCAGTTCTTTTAATCACAAAGAACATTTACTACCAGCTATTGCACACAACAGCACAATATACAACCTTTTACAGACACAGCAATGAGGACAATGTGAAAGGATTGCATTTAAAATTTGAAGAGATCAATGAAGTGCTGAGGAGAGACTGGCATGAAGCAGCTGTCTGGGTCCGTTGCGGTGCAGGGGTGTCCTGAGTCCTGCAGGGGGGAGAGAATGGGGATGAAGTTACATCCACAGACCAGGCGTCATTGCTGTCAGCAACAGTCATCAGCTGTGTGTTTAAAGGGACACTGGACCACATCTCTTAAAGGTATTTGAAAAATCACTTTGATAGAATTATTAAAGGCAGCAGCAGTACTTATCAGTAGAGAGATTTCTTTTAGTAATTTCTACCCAAGTAGTGACATCAGAGAATATGTCCTTGAATACAGAGCAAGCTTCTAAGTTTAAAGGAACATGACTGTCACTCATTGCACTTTGCTGCACCAGTGCCTACAAACATAGCCAAAAGTCTGAAACTCAATTGACACACTAGTCCTGGTATTCTCTCTACTGGAAAATATTCTGACATTCTATTTTTCTTCCCAACTGTTATTCCTTCCCTCATTCTTATTTTACATTGTTATTTAGATTTCCCTCTATCCATCATTTATTCCTTAAATTAATCCTACTTGTACACTGCTTCTATGCTAGAAGCAGTGCAAAGCCTCCTTAAACAGGCCAGGAGAAAGGCCTTGGTATAGTTTCTGCAATGGGGAAAGGGAAGTCATGGATCAAGTATTTTTGAGGATGAAAACTGACTAACCCTTAAGAGAACAAGATGCTTTAAGAATATAGGCAAATGAGAATTAGAGGCTATATTCTGTCATGCACCGTTGACTTAATTCTGGCTCATAGCCACTCAGTGTGAGAGGAGAACTGGCCCACAGGGTTTCCTGTGCTTTACAGAAGCAGATCACTGGGTCTTTGCTTACACGGAGGAGTTGGCAGGTTCAAACTGCCTATCTTTCAGTTACCAGCTAAGTGCTTAACCATTGTGCCACTAGGGCTCCTTTAGAAGCTGTATTAACCCACCGCCATCGAGTTGCTTCTAACTCATAGGAGTCTTGGTGCTCCTCTGCAGGAGAAAGATGAAACAGGCTGCTTCTGTAAAGATTTACACCCTTGGAAACCCTATGGGCCAGTTCTCCGTGCTATAGTGTCACTATGCGTATGCGAGGCTATATTTGGTAAATATAATGGTTTATTTTTCAAAGTGGTCCCTTACTTGCAATGTTACCAATCCTAATGCACTTGCATCTTTTATCTGAATGAGAAATTTTTATTAACAAAGTCCACACTTTTCCCTTAAGGCTGTACTTTATCTAACTCAAGCATTGGTCAAATTAGTTCATTAAAATAGTTTGGTTCTTGTTGAAATAATCAAGAGAGTTGAAATTTGCTTTTACTGGTTACAGTTTTTCAGTAAACTCACTCCCACACATATGCTGTGTATTTAGGTGACAATCTTGAGCATCAGAGCTTAATCAGTGTTAAGGTGTTTAAATTTAACTGGTTTACTATGTTATGGCAAGATCATGTGCATGAGATGTACCATAATTCACCATTCTTTAATTCTAAACACAGCATGTGTGGTAAAATATGGAAGTACCTTGAATAATAAAGCAAGATGGTAGTCCTTTGAGATCATGAAGAAAGAATCAGGAAGGAATGCAGTAAAGGGAGAGAGAGAAAAAAAAAAGGAAAAGTTAAGATTAGAAAGAGCCAGACTGAATTTAGACATTTAAGTCCGATGCATATTATTTATGAAAATAAAACAGATAATGAAATTTGGCAATGCAGAATATTAAATGCAAGCATACAGGATAATACCAAATATCCCAAAGATCCATATAACTTAAAGATACTGTCTTAAGACGGTAATAAATATTACCATTTCTTTATAAGATTTTCAAATTGAGGGAGCTCTGGTGGTGTACTGCCTAACATATTTGACTGCTAACCAGAAGGCTGGTGGTTCAAACCCACCAGCCACTCCTTGGAAGGAAGGTTGGGCAATCCACTTCCGTAGAAATATTGTCTCGGAAACCCAAGGAGGGGTCACTGTACCAAATACCCCAAAGACCCATATTACTGTCTTAAGACAGTAATAAATATTCCCATTTCTTTACAAAATTTTCAAATTGATAACTACTGAGGTGTCAGTGCTTTCAAAATTGTTCATTGAAAATACATAAGTTAATGCTAATATTTCCATGTATAGTTTATATCAAAAAAATTGTAATAGATCATTTTTGGAAAAATCATTTCTTCTTTCTCTAATGTTCTGAGGGCTTATTCTATTCTAAATCATGTACATTAACTAGATTCCTTGTATGCTAAGAAGCCATGCAGCCAAACTCCATCTTCTCTGATGCTTTTGTTTCTACTTACTGTTTCTTCATAAAAGAAGAGCATCAGTCGGCTGCCTTCCTGACCCAGGTTTTATACTGTTTGCTGCCACCAATCCCCCAGCATATCCATCAGCTCTTCCTTCAACCCAGCCTCTTCTCACTGCCTCCATTCATGATCTCTCTGGAATAGGCCATCACCATCTCTTGCCTAAACTATTAGAGTCACATCCTCACATCCTAACTGGTCTTCCTACTGCTGTCCTAGTTCTCATACATGGAACCAAGCAGTCAGAGTTTTCTACCATCCTCTCCCTCACTACACTCCTGACACCTGGCCTTTAGCTTTTCCTCAAACATGCCAAGTGGGTTTCTTCCTCAGGTACTTTATACTTGCTGTTCCCACTGCTTGGGATACTCTTCCTTGAGTATCTGCATGGCCACCTCTTACACCCAGTGCTGTGGAGGGTCACTGTGTAAATTTCTCTATGCTGTGCAAATATCACTTTATTCATGAGGCCTTTTCTGACCAAACCAGTAATAACAACTCTGCTCCCCATCTGCTTGGCATGCTCCACTTCCCTCATCCTGCTTTATTTTTTTACACAGCATTTTGCTTTCAACATACCATATTATTTTATTTTTCCTTACGGTATTTCTTCATGTAAGCTCCCTAAGGGCAAGGAGATTTGTTTGTTTTATTCACTTACATATTCCCAGAGCATAGAGAAGTACCTCCTTGGCACACAGTAGGCACTTAACTGGTCGAATGAATGACTGCCTTATATCTATGTCTGCTCTTTAAGGGCAAGACTGTGCATTTTGTTTTGTTCAAACAAATACTGGGAGCTCAGTTAGTACTCAATGAAAGAATTAATAGCAGAATAAATGTATAACCCCTATCTTAGTGGGTTATACATTTATTTACATTTACATAATACAAAACTTAAACTGGTGACTATAGTGCAATACATGTGGCTCTGATGGGAGAAAACCCCAAATTTTCCTTTTAATAGTTATTTTTTATTTCAATGAGAACAAAGGTCATGAGTCTATTATTTGGCCTTAAAAGAAAGAATAAAAATAAACTGCAATTAAAAAAAAATCTTGGCTTCCTACTAATATTTGAATTAAATGGCTTTCTTTCACTCCTCAGGAAGATACTAGTTTTTAAACAGTAAAGAAAAAGCCGTAAGAAAAGGAGTAACTGTTTAGTAGGGTGGAAAGTTATGAAGAACATCTTAAATAATTTGTAGTCTAGTTTATTTAAAGTATAAATCTTCCATAGGAGCTCTGGTGGCATAGTGCCTAATGCAGTTGACTGCTAACCAGAAGGCTGGCAGTTCAAACCCACCATAGCAACTCCTCCTTGGGTTTCTGAGGTGGGACCACTACGAAGTAGATTGTCCAGCCCTCCTTCTGGGGAGTGGCTGGTGGGTTTGAACCATGAGCCTTCTGGTTAGCAGTCATATGCCTTAGGCACCAGTCACACAAAGATGACTGTGTTGTCAACAGTATGAGCTCCGGTTTAGCTATGCTAAAATCATGCCCATGAATAAATACGTTTTCTTCTTGCTTCTTCATTTAGAGAAGGGTGGCAGATGGCTAGTACCTTCAGTCAATTTAATTATTTAGTGAAGTGGGACAGGGACATTGATGACCTATGCATTGTGTCTGCAGGAATGTCTTTTTCCTCACTCTTCCATGCCCCCCCCCAAAAAAAAACCAAACTCACTGCCTTCAAGTTGGATCTGACTCATAGCGACCCCTCCTTGGGTTCCCGAGGCAGTAACACTATGGAAGTGGATTGCCCAACCTTCCTTCCAAGCAGTGGCTGGTGGGTTTGAACCGCCAGCCTTCTGGATAGCAGTCAAGTGCCTTAGGCACTACTCTTCCATGCCCAGCCACTCTTAAATCCTGGTTGGCAGTGTTCTATTAGAAGAAAGCTTTAGTCCATGTTGATATTACAGTTGGATCTTGTACTATTCTCTATTTTCTTGGCAATTATTAAATCATTTTTTAAATTTCAGTAAGAGTTGTTGGGTGCCATAAGGTCAACTTTTTACTCAGAGTGACCTCATGTGACAAAGAATTGTCCCATAGGATTTCCTAGGCAGACTGCCTGATCTTTCACCGGTGGAGCAGCTTGGTGAATTCAAACTGCCAACCTTTCAGTTAGCAGCCAAGCAGTTAACTGTTGTGCCATCAGGGCTCCTTTCAGTAAGGGTAATTGCTACATAAGACCCTTTGATGAATTATTTTCTATTTGTTTTTAGTTGTATAATACAAATCCAGATTCTGAGTGTGGGATTTACTTATAGCAAGAAAAACCAGAAATGAGTTTTAGTTCCTCAGGTAACTGTTTAGGTGAAATATTTTAAAATTAAAAAAAAAAAAAAATCCTTAACATATCCTCTTATCTTTTCTTTTAGTTCACACTAGTGCAGGACCAAACATTTTACAATTAATTTGTAAGATATTTTTCCATATAATTAGTGTGAGTGTATCAATCATTAAACTTCATTAAGCTTTACGTTTACAGTGCAATTCAAACACAGGTATTTTTGAAATAAATATGTTTATATTCCAATGAAATAGCATTACTGAATAAAGAATATCTGTCATGTATCTGGTTCTACGATAACTGTAGTGTTGTTGTTGTTGTTATTTGCCATCGAGTCGGCCCCGACTCCTAGCGACCCCTCCTTGGGTTTCCGAGGCAGTTATCATTACGGAAGTAGGATTGCCCAACCTTCCCTCCGAGGAGTGGCTGGTGGGTAATTGTAGTACAGACATGAAATTACAAATATAGATATGTGTAGACGGGATACATAGAGGACTATGGCTGTCTTGATATGCAAACCTTCATGTGGATTGAATTTAGGGAAGAAATACTCCATCTAGTAGCAGGTTCCTTTGAAGATTATATCTCAAGATATTAGAAACAGTAATCCTAATGACATTAGATGTGCTGTTTATCAATCAGCTGGGTTTCTAGTCCTCCCTCAACAGGCTACACTATAAACACGGTGATGACAGGAAGTAGCATTGCTATCTTCCTGGCCCACAGCCCAATGTCTTACATACAGTAGGCCACAACTTTTTATTTTTGAATGAATACATAAATATTTGGTTCATTACTGTATCAACACTGATATTCTGCTAATTAATTGCATTCTTTCACTTAATATGTGATTAGATGACTTTTTAAATGCTGATCAAGAGCCCAACATTGCTGATATGCATAGAAAAAAATTATATTTAATGAGAAAATTGATAATTATTTTATAATTCTTTGTCCATTTAACAACTTATTTAATAGTTGCTTGTAGTACAGTATTACTTTATATAAACTATTTGTGAACACAGTTAGATATTCTTAATAAAATGTGATGTGTTTAGTGAGTGTTAGTTTTTCCTAATAGAATGCTACCTGTGAGGTGTGAAAGGTTACTCCGAGGAGGTTGGTTGCTGTGACAATGTCCCTGAAATGTATATTTTACAAATGGCAATTAGTTTGTCAGCAGATATAGAGTTGATATAGCATGTGTATAGGGAGAGGCAGTTTGGGCTTCCACAGCAAGATCTTGGTGGGTATTTGGAAGGATTAGGGAAGAAGTGAGAAAGCATGGTAAGATGAAGTGGAGTCAGGGTTCGTGGAGTGTTAAGGGATTGTTAAGAGGTTGGGAGTAGTTCTGGATTTGTCACAGTAAAAGCTGAATATTTCACACTGTTAATTCAACTCATTCTCAAAAGGTTAGTACTCCTTGGATTCTATCAGGTGTGATAATAAAATAGTTCCTTGCTTCCCATTTATGAACACATTTATTTAATAAAGTAATGGAAACAGAAGTAACAGTAGTGAGCATTAAAACCAAACATATGCACAAATAATTGTAAATATGATTAGAAATCTGAACACAAATGTCAAAGATGATTTTTTTCAAGTCACATAATACTAATAGAAATTGTAACATGTTTTTTACTTAAAGTTTTTATTCATTAGAGATCAAATTAGTGGATAGTTTTGAGAACCTTTGTACTTATGGTTTATGTAAGTTACCAAAAAAAAAAAAAAAAACCCACCACACTTGTTGCTGTTGAGTGTGATCCGACTCATTGCAACTCCTCTAAGTAAGGGGCTTTAAAAAAATATGATAGTTATATAAAAAATTATGGAAAATATCATTTTAAAAAGTATGATTAAAAAGAAACTATTTTCATTATTTGGTTTAAAATTTGACATTATTTGGATTTAAAGTTCCAGTTGAGGGGGAAGGAAGAAAAG